TGAATTTCTACAGATGATTCATCTATATATATTCACAGATTACTACCTCTCTTACAGATCTGTTAAAGAGAAGTGTGAAAGACAGAAAAACAGAACTGTTTATTCTTATTCAAGACATCACACAGATATTTGCAGAATTGAAACAAGCTTTTACAGATGTCACAATGCTGAATCACTTTAATTCTGACTTACTCAGTCAGTGTAAGACTGATGTATCTGAGAATGAGATCTGTGAAATCTTTTTACAGTTGACACTGAAGACCTTTCAACATTGAAAGAATTAGAGAATAATTATCTCTGAGAATATAGATAATGAAATATCTGTGAGAGAAGACTTTTTCACAGAGTCTATAAGACACTGTAAATGAAGATCAGTAATCTTCTTCTTTAAGAAGTTATCACTTATACAGAGAAGATATGATATTCATAATTAAGAGATGTTAGTAATTATTGAATTCTTTAAGATCTGATAACATTATCTTCAGAGTAGTAAGTACTCAGTATAAGTTCTTACTAATTATACAAATCTGCATTACTTCTTGATAACAAAGAGCTTGACAGAACATCAAGCCAGGTGAGTAAAGCTGCTTTCAGAGTATTATTTCTATATCTAATATCATTCAGATCAGCTTAATCCTGCTGATATATTATCTAGACAGTCTGATTATAATATCATTGATACAGAGAAGAATTCTATAAAAGAATCTCTGCTATCACTGCAGAAGAAGCTGGCTGCAGAGAGTTAAGATTCTCTGAAGCTCAGAAATAGCATCAGTAAGACAGCTGCATAACTTAGTATAGAAGATAGAAGAAAACTCAGATCTCTGTAAAAAACTGACACTGAAGATTATAAGCTTCTCATATTATATCTTACAATCATTGAATTGACAAAAAATGAAACAGTCTACAATCTTTTAATCTAACTACTTTTGAAATTCATTGATAAGTTACAGAAGAGAGATATCTCTACTGCAGCTTAAATTTAGAAGTTGAAGAAGAAAGAATCTGATTTGAACTTGAAAGAGACAGACTCTGAGCAGGACAGTGTCACTAAGAAATCAAGTCACTGATAACTAGGAGAATGTAAACTTCTACTACTGAATGATTCAGTCTTCATCTCTCATAACAGAGCTGTGTGTTAGAAGTTATTGAGAATTCATTATAATAATTCTTATACAGAGCACTTCAGATTAGAGAAGACTGAGAAGCTTCTAAAATATAAATATATTTGAGACAAGCTCTGAACAGATATTAAAGAGTATATTAAAACTTACAATATCTGTTAAAGAATAAAGATTCTGTAATATAAGTAATACAGTGAGTTAATATCACTGTCTGTTTCAAAGAACTTATGATAGAATCTATCAATGAATTTTATAGTTAATCTGCTGAAGTTGACAAGAGTTAAAGAATATGACTCAATTTTAATCATTATTAACTACTTTATAAAGATAATTCAATATATCTCTACTTATAAAAAGATTAAAGTCTCTGAATTAACTGATCTATTTTTAGATATCATTATTTATAATTATAATGCTTTAAAATCATTGATAACAGATCAAGAATTCCTCTTCATCAGTAAATACTGATCAGCTTTTTACTATCATTTTATAATAAGATATCTTCTCAGTACTGTATTTCATCTGCAGACAGATAATCAGACTGAACATCAGAATCAGACACTAGAACAGCATTTTTAAGTATTCTATTTATATTATCAGAATAATTGACTTAAACATCTTCTGACTACTGAATTCATATATAACAATATAAAGAATGTAATCTTAAAGATATCTTCTTTCTATACTTATTATGAATATAATTCTTCATTACTCAGTGACATCACAGATAATATTTCAAAGAGAGAAATAGATAGTCAGAATATTAAATAGATACAGAGAACAGAGTATCTCTCAGTATCAGAAGTAAAAGTGAGATTGAAACTTTTAAATAAAATTCATGAGAAGACAGTGAAAAGCATTCACTGTACTTAGAAGTAGTAGATAAAATACTATAATTGAAAACATCTTTCAATGAAGTTCTTAATAGAGAATCAAGTACTACTTTTAGCAAAGAATATTAAGATAATAAGACTGTGTAAGAAGCTCAGTGAGTGATAACTAGAATCTTTCTCAGTAATAAGAGTGATAAATAAGTAGATATATAAGTTGAAATTATTCACAGAATTGAAATCAATTCATTCTATTTTTTATATTTTCTATTTAAAGCTTTATAAACAATATTCTGAGATGAAGCTGTCTCAGCTGAATAATATTGAAATTGAGAGTGATGCTGAATATTTTATAAAGAAAATATTGAATAAGTGAATATATTATAACAAGCTTCAATATCTTATTAAATAAGAAGATTATTTATTGTCAGAGAATTTATAAGAACTGCTTGAGTATTTGAAAAATACTGAGAAAGAGATTGTAAGCTATAAGATAGCTAGTAGAGACTGCTCTATTATATATCAGAGATATTAAGTAAGAAATACTACTTAAGACTTCTTATTTTTTCTTAAGGAATTTTTTTAGAGATAATCTTACAGTGATGAGCTGATATCTTATAAGCTCTGTAGCACTCTTCTTCTATTTTCTCTTAAAGAGTTTTTTAGAAGTTTAATAAAACTATATAAGTGTAAAATTCCTGAAGCAGTTAGAGAAAAGAAATATTTAAAACTAATAAAAAGATTAATATTATTAATCTGCAAGTCACTGCTATTTTAATAAGACTGCAGCCTGCTGAAAAAGTAAAAAGAGAGAACTTCAGAATCTACTTATTAATAATTACATTCTTATCAAACTTATTCTTCACTGTTAAAGTCTTCAGTATTAGCATCTTTATCTACTGAGAAGTTAGTACTGTAGCACTGCAGAGAAGCATGCTGTAGAAGAGTATATATACTATAGAAGAGTATAAGAGATACTGAAATTATTAACTTATTAACTTATAAAGTATCTCAGTTATCTATTTCAACTGAAGTGAGATTCTCTTCAATCAGTAATTGATCTCTACAGTACTTTCAATAATGATACTGACTAATCTCTTCTTATGATCAGTTATTCTGAGATATTTTTTCATCTCAGAGATTCATACTTTCATCTTCTTTTACAGATGAGTAAGAAGAATCTTCTCAGTCTTAATAGAATTTATCAATACTTAAAGCTCTGAGATTCTTACTCTGTACTACTTGAATATCTGAGCTTCTTATCAGAGCTGATATGATATCTTTTTATAGAGTAGATAATACTTACAGAGAGATAGAAGTTATTGTTACAAGTATAATAGAAATAACAGAAGTGAGAGAAGAGATAAGTACATAAGATTTCTCTCTCTTTCAGCTGCTTAGTACAGTGCAGATAAGTAACAGTACTAATCAGAGACTGTATCAGAGTCTTCTTACAGAGAGAAGACAAAGAAACTGCAGAACTCTGTAGATTTAACTCAGCAGTATTCTGAGCAGAGCTCAGACATGCTGCAGAAGAAAAACTATAGATTAAGCTTCTCAGAGTCACTGTTTCTGAAATCAAGCTCTCTCTGAGTTTCTCTCTGAATGATCACATGAGATTATATATTACTGTGTTGACTGAGAGAGAGAGTAGTGTTACAACAGTGATAAAGAGAGTAGAGAAAGAATCAGATATAGACAAACTGATCAGCAGAAGAGATGACATCTCACTGTAAGATACAGTGACTACTGTCACAGCTGTAAGAGAAGTAGAAGAAGAAGAAGAAGAAGATATGATAATAAGAGTAGTACTTTTACAGTCTGTCAACACTGCTGTCTTCATCTTTAACTAAGCTTTCTTAACAGTCACAGAGACTGCAGCTGCATTATAAAGATATTTACTCACTAGAAAATATCAGAATAAGCTCTTTATTATTCTTCAAGAATAATACTCTCATATACTCACTGTTACAATTGAGAAAGAGAAAAGAAAAATATATTATAAGAAGAGAAGATCTTTTTAAAAAATTCTATCACTACTGTTAGCTTTATCTCTAAAATACATTACTTTTACAGAGAATTTTATATATAGAATGAAATATGATAAGAGATCTATAAGTTACTTATTAATTATGTTTTTCATATTCTAAATCAATATATAAGAAACTTACTTATCATATATTTAGTTTGAATAAAGATGAGAAAAGAAAGATCTACACAGTCAGTAGAAAAACTCATCTATTTCTTTATATTATATACAGTATATATACTGTTAATCAGTTGATAACTGTTGCTATATAACAAAGATAACTCTCAATTCAGTAATCTTAAGAGCATCAGAATTATGCTCTTAAAGAGAAGAGTATTATCATACTTCTAACTATATTAAGACTCTGCTACAGTTTCACACAGCTTATTACTTTTATACAGATGATTTCATTCTATCTGAATCAGTTTTCAATCACTCTATAACATCATTCAGATATATCATAGAAAGATTTAATTAATAGATATAAGAACTTCACTTCTATACAAGATCAGCAGATTACTCTTTCTTAATAGTGAGATGCTGCTGAGGTATCACTCCAGCTATTCTCACTCATAGAATAGAAGAAGGGTATTCACTCATTGTCTATATAGAATAGCTAGATGCTGACTTCTCATCAAAGAAGTCAGTGATTCATTTTTCTTCTACTGAAATATATACAAGAGTTACTGTGTTCCTTATACAATCTTCTTAGTATACTAAGTATCATATCTGTGATATTCTTGCAATAACCCTGTAGCCTATGAGCTTGCTATTCAAGCAAGATAGTCAAGCCCACTCATACAGCTTCCCAAACAACTACCCCTATGTGACGCCGCCGACAAGCCACCGCTTCGGTTCCGTCACGTTACAGACAGTCTTAAACCTCCTGATCCTGTGATCAGGAATTGTATGATTCAGATATCAGAGACTGGCCAGCAACATTCAGACTCTTCAGCTCAACATGCAGAGCTTGAGTACTGACAGCTTTGACTGTATGCTATGCATCATTATCTGAAAATGCCCAGAGAGTCAGAGAGTGACAATCTCATGATGAGACCTGATCATGAAAAGACTGACAAGACAGTGCTCCATGAGATGACTGTTCTTGCACAAAATCTTGGTTTTGACTCTACACAAATCACAGATCTCATCAAGCTATCTCTCAATCATCAGATCGCGCGGTCTGTTCTTCTGAAAGCATAGAATTCAGAGCAGTTTCAATACAACAGTGGAATATTTGAGACTCTTATTGACTACATCATAGAATGCTTCTCTCTTACCATCCTCATTGAGCGCCAGCTCTCTTGCGATTTCATCTCTAACAGTGAGACTAAGCTAAATGCTCAGTGTGAGCTCCCGCATGCCAGAGCGCAGCAGCAAGATCATCAGTTTCTCTTCCTCAATCAACTGCATACTGATGAAATGCCGGCGGGTGGGAAGGTCTCTACATTGTTCATGAGACAATGTGTCTATTTTGCCTTTTTTGGCAAGCCACTGACATCTCCACCTTCTCAACACACTTGGGTTGAACCGGCTCCTTCAGCAAGTGATCCATCCAATTTGTCAATATCACCACTTCTCATGCCCGGTGACAGTCCACTTGCAGGATTCGGACAGCTTCCTTTGCAGGCAAACAATGGTTATACCACTGAACACAGCGAGCGAAGCCCAATGCAGCTAGAGGTGGCAGAGAGGGCGACTGCAGAAGAAACCGGAGTCTGCAGAGAAGAATGAGAGATCGCCTTGCGGGACGAACAAGCACGAGAACAGGCTGCCGACGAAGCCCGGCGTCAGAAGGAGGCTGAAGAGATGGCAGCCGCTGAGGCTGCCTTGAGACTTGCCCAATTTCAGAAGGAAGCCGAAGAAAGAGCAGCCACCGAGTGTTATGCTGCGGAACAAGAACAGCTTCGACAAGAACAACTGAGGCAGGAGGAGGAAAGACAATATGCTGTGGAACTAGAACAGCTTCGCCAGCAGGAAGAGGAAAAATTGGCCGCTGAACAATATGCCGCGGAACAGGAACAGCTTCGACAAGAACAACTGAGGCAGGAAGAGGAGGAGGCAAGAGCAGCCGCTGAATGATATGCTGCAGAACAAGAACAGCTTCAACAAGAACAACTGAGACAGGAAGAGGAGGAGGCAAGAGCGGCCGCTGAATGATATGCCGCGGAACAGGAACAGCTGAGACAGGAGAAGGAGGCAAGAGCAGCCACTGAATGATATGCTGTGAAACAGAAACAGCTTCAACAAGAACAACTGAGACAGGAAGAGAAGGAGGCAAGAGCAGCCGCTGAATGATATGCTGCAGAACAGGAACAGCTGAGGCAGGAGGAGGAGTCAAGAGTGGCCGCTGAACAATATGCCATGGAACAGGAACAGCTTTGACAAGAACAACTGAGACAGGAAGAGAAGGAGGCAAGAGCGGCTGCTGAACAATATACCGCAGAACAGGAACAGCTGAGACAGGAGGAGAAGGCAAGAGCAGCTGCTGAATGATATGCTGCAGAACAAGAACAGCTTCAACAAGAACAACTGAGACAGGAAGAGAAGAAGGCAAGAGCAGCCGCTGAACAACATGCCGCGGAACAAGAATGGCAGAGGCAAGACACAGAAGAAGCTGCAACTGAGCAAGTTAAACAAGAGCAAATTCAGCATGAAGAAGAGGAAAGACATACTGTTGAGAGAGCTAAACAGGAACAGATTCAAAAGAATGCTGAGAAAAGGGCAGTTGTTGAGCACACAGCTGAAGAGGCGCATCTTCAACAAGAAGTGGAAGAAAGAGCTGTTGCTGAGCAGGCGGATTAAGAGTGACTTGCAAGAGAGGCAGTGGAGCCAGTACAGCTGCAGCTGAGGGAATAAGAGAGGGCAGCTGTGCCAACAGCCGCAGCAGAGACACACACCTCACAGCCTGTCACACAGCTCAACTTCGCATCCTTCATGCCCATTAAGGGTGATGATGCTCACAGCATCATTGACCCTGCAAGCACTGAGTGAGTGATGAACATCGCAGACCTCCCTCTAGAAGTTGAGAGTTGAAAAGCTGCTGAAAGCACTACTGGATCAACACAGTTGAAAGTCTCCCAAACGCGGAAGAGCAAGCTGCAGATACCTGGAGGCATCTCAAAAGCTTCAGAGAGAGGTGTTTCTTCACAGGGAACTGCAAGAAAAGTCACTGTCAAATGATCTTTGAAAACAGGCAACAGACTCCAACACTCGCAGCCAGATTCACAACTTCAAGGGGCATCCAGGCTCAAGGATGTGTCAACCAGCGCTAGAATGGTCATGATCATTTTCAAGGCTCATGAGCAAGGGAAGTGGGTCAACACTTATAAGATGACCATTAACCCATCTGAGCTCTCCGACCTGTCCATGGTGAAGTAAATGACTAAGAAGAATGCTCAGAACTGACAGGCGACCTTCTATGACAAGGACCTGAAACTGATCGCTTCTGCACAGTGCTTTGACACGGCCATTGAAGATGGAACCAACACTGTCTTCATGGTGTTTGGCAGGGAGCTGAATGTCGATGAAGAGATGGTGGCATCTGTGTCACAGAATACCAACAGCGAATGAAAAAAAGAGAGAAAGACCAAGCATCATGCGTGATCAAAATGCGGGGAGCTGGGGCCCTTTGGCCATGACTCCTTAGTCGCCACAGAACCACAGAAATCGATTCAATGGCCTCTGCCGTCCACAGGCCAGCATGGCCACAAGTTGGTCATCTTTGAGCCTACCAGGTTCATGGACCTCGATCCATGAACCTGTCAGGCCTATTGACTCCTGCCTCTAGCATGGCAACCTAGGTCAGTGAACCTACTGCACATGTTCTTAAGCACTGGCCATAGTACCCCTTCCCTTAGTCATCGTGCTAATGACCACATGGTGTAGTCCCTGGCCTTTTGTCAATCTTCTTCTGCCACTGTGCCTCTGGCCTGATTGGACTTCGGTCCTCGGGTTGACCCTTGAGCAGGGACGGTTTTTAACTGAAGTACGTATGTCTCTATACTTCGATGAGCTACATGAGTGGGCGAACAGAATGATGACTAGTCTTGCTGATAACCTTAAATTGTCTATTCCCGGTATGGCGAATTTGACAACCGGCTGGTATCATTATTGCTTGGGATTGATACCAACTGCTATCACAATCGCCATTATTGCCATTATTACTGAATATACTAATTACTCAATATTCTAGAAGATGATGTTGAGTTTTCGATGATATCACATTAGATCAAAATCTCCTCACTCGAATCTGGATGAGACCTTACAGCACAGGTAATTTTTATGTTGTTGCAATTGTAACAGTATTTGAATACATCTTTGAATGAGCTGAATGATGAAAATATATCTAGTAATGAAAAACAATTATATTTAAATAGAGCAAATGCTGACCAGCGGGTATACTGCAAAGATGATGCAACAGTATATAACTGCTTGTGCCGAAGTCAAAAAGAGTAGTGCAATGGCAATATTAATTAAATGTGAAAGGGAAATGGAAAGGCAGGTAAGAGTGTGAGGAATTGTGAATAACCTGTGAGACAAGCAGAGGCTTTCAGACACATATGAAATCTTGATGATTGACCTTCTCACACTGGTTGCTGCATGGGGATCAAGATGATTGAAAGCTCAGTGACAGACAGTCAGTCAGAGCACTGAGTTCACTGAATTGTGTAAGTATTCTGTACTTGACTGAACATGTAACAGTTTCATGTGCAGTTTCTACATGAATCAGAAGCTCTTTCAGAGTTGTAAGTCTCATGTTGCATATATTACAATTCAGCAGCTGAAACTTATTCAGATGCTATCTCTGAAAATGTTTAATAAGATCTTTCAGTTCACTGAAGAAATAGATCTGATCTGACAGTATAAGGTTGATATTTTACAGGCAGATAAAGCATATTTTGAGTCAGAGCTTTATTCAAACTGCTTGAGTAACTGACTTCAGAAGCATGTCTGATAATAATTAATTAATCACTTCTGTCTTATAAGTGATCAGTTTCACTGTGATTGACTTGAGACTGAAGTTACAGTTATATTAACAGTAGATAAGATCTTTCTCAACACTGCAGTATACAGAGATTATATAAATGACTCTAATTCATCATTATAGTTCTGTCACTAAAGTGATTAATAGTAATATCAGAACTGCATTAATTATTATTATTATCTTAAATAGTATGTACTGCTTTAGTTCACTTCTAATCTGCTTATTAACTATCTTTTCAGATAGCTGTTACTCACTGTTAATTACTAGCTGTTTCTATCAGTACTGCTTCAGAATCTCACACTTAAGTAGTATTCTTGTGGTTCGGAAGAACGTACGACCGCCGGATAATAACGCGGCCGCTTCCGAACTTGCTTACAAATGTAAAGGGGCCATAGCGGCCATCAATTAATTTAGTGTACAGTATATAAGAAGCCAGTGTACATCTGTAATTATATGCTGGCTCAAGCAATCTTTGAATCACATCTGATAGCATGTCTAAAAATCAGTAAGAAGCACAGGCTTCTTCAGAGTGTGATAATTTCATCTACAAAGCAATTTACAGTTATCACATCAGTGTGATTCTAAAATGCCTTAAAAGATAGCATATGAAGAAGTGATGAGTGAAAGAGCATCTGATTAATACTACTCTGCTTATTAAAGAAAAACTTCACACTCAGGTGAATGTCATGTATGTGAATGACTAAGATGTGAGAAAAAGAATAAGAGTGATGAATCAGATTCAAAGAAGACTGCTCTCTACTTAGAAGAATAAAAGAAGAGTGATTATCATCAGAGTTATACAATGATAACAGAAATCATATAATAATATAGTGATATAATGATATAGTGATATAATAAGATAGTAATATAATAATAGACATTATACAATCAATGAGAAATCACTGAAATGAATATCTTCTCTAGTTAATATAAATAACACTCTTCTCTGCTATCTGAACTGAAAGATATGCAGAATCTCTCAGAGAATTTACTTGAAGTAGTAAGAAAAACAGCTGAGACTGCTGAACTGAAATTGAAGCTCTGTACATATACAATAATTCTAAATGAGATTGAGACCTTGTGTACACAGTGACAGGCTGAGACAGAAGTTAAGTAATAATTAATATTCACTGTGAATCAAGTATTCACTATGAAGAGCTTTACTAATGCAATTATTATCATCAATAAGAATAGAAGAAAATCAGATCTTAGATCTGCAGTGAGAGATTAAATATTTATACAGATAGATGACTACACTAAATCTGAAGATCTTATCACAATTGTTTATAATCTTATCAGAAGTGTATATATTATCTGAGATTACTGTGCAAGATGAGAATCTGAGTATGAGATATATCAAGTCAGAAGATCTGCTGAAGCTATCAAGCTTTAATAGCAACTGAAAAAATAATGCTATAATCAGCTGACTAAGTCAGATATGATTATATTATTGAATTGAATATGAACTCACAGACAGATAGTTAATAAAATTTTAACAAGTTTTAAGATCTGCTGTGTTTCTATATGAAAAAGTGAAGTTATTATAAATGATCAGTGAAAAGATGAATCTCACATACTTAGAGTGATATTCATTCTTATAAATATGAAATGAGTTTTTCAAATGAATCTTACATAACTTTAAGAAAGTGAATGCATGAGATAAGCATTATAAATGCTTCACTGAGTGTAGATAAGTGAGTAATCTTATATCATACTTTATATACTTCAGCTTACACTATCTCATACTAAATGAAGAGCTTTTAACATCTTTCTGTTTATCAATCTTCATTCATGATCTTACACTCAAGTTAAGAGTGAAATGAAAATGCTTAATCTCACAGTCAGACACAGTGAAGAAAGCATATAACATTTTCATTATACAGAAATAAGTAAGTCAACTATGATAGAAAATACTGTAATTAAGTATATCTTAACAGAGAATGAGTAATCAGACTTCTATGATACAAGTCACACATCTGAATATAATGAATCTAGATTTGAATGTCATTGCTAAAGCACTGAATTCTCTGAAAAAGAGATTCTCTGAGTGAAAACCTTGATATTGTAAGTATTGAGCTTGCTTCAACTATGAATATCAAAATCATGATATAAAAGATTGCACACAGCATGTGCAGTCAAGAGAGTTAAAAAACTAGCAGAATCAGTGAGCTCAGAGACACTCACTGATATTCTATAAAAAGTCTTCAAAGTAAAAGAGATATCTGTGTTAGATAACTCTCTGAATTCTGTGAATATCAAGAGAAAGCAGACTTCTGACTGAGATGCAGGTGAGAATGAAGCAGACACTCATCTCAATGTCTTGAGACCTGAAATGTTAATATATAAAGAGCACTTGAATAAGAATTGAGAGATGGCTGCAAAAGTATTAGCAGACACAGAAGTGTCTACACAATATATTGATAATCATATAATTCAAAGACTGAAAGAGATTCACTGAGAAAAGAATTCCTGATGTATAAGATTATCTGATAACTAATATTTGATATCATCTGTAAGAGTAAGAGTTCTCTTATACTTCAGAGAATGATCTTGCTATATTTAAGCATGAGAGCTGCAGAATGTGAAATATAATCTTATTCTCAGACTTGATTAATTTCAAAGATTTAATTCACAGATTCAATGATGTACATGTTATATACAGTTGACTGATAGAAGAAAGTAGTTCATATAATTCTATTAACTGATATGAGAAGAACATTTCATATCTCTGATATAGAAGAGTTAAATCTGCTTATGTATTAATAAGTAAAGAGAATAATTTATAAGACCTCATCTGAAAGTATTCTGTATGTCATATGAGACCTGAAGGCAGAGAAAACCAAGATAAAGAATATGCAGAAGAACAAGTGTATGAAGAAGCTTCTGAAGAAGCATGAAAAGATCTTCTAAACAGATTTTTCATCAGAATTGCTGCTGAAATGAGAATTTGTACATGAGATTGACATGAGAGATGTGAAACCAGTCAATCAGAATGCATATTCTCTGTCACAAATACACCTTAAAGACCAGAAGTGTCAGATCACAGATCTTCTAGAATGTGATCTTATATAATTCTCATCAAGTGCATGAGGCTTTTCAGTCTTATTTGTGAAAAAGACAGGTGAAGAGTGACAGATGTGTATCAATTATTGAGTACTCAACAAGCTTATAATCAACAATGAATATTCACTGTCACAGATTCAACAACAGTTGAATACAGTCAGAAATACTTAATATCTATCAAAGATCAATCTTCTCTCAGAATATTGACAGATCTGTGTAGATGAACTGTCAGTACTATAAACTGTGTTTAATATATAATGAAGAAAGTTCAAATTTCTGACAATATTATTCAGTCTGATAAATGCATCTATTATCTTTCAAATGATAATGAATACAATTCTTCATAAACAGAATAAAACCTTACATCTTATATATTTGAATAACATTCTAGTCTTCTCAAACTTATACAATGAATATCTGAAGTATCTTGATAAAGTGCTTATAACTCTGACAGAGTATAAGCTCTATATTAAATTAACAAAGTGTGTGTTTAAAACAGAAGAGTTAAAGTTCATAGAATATA